TATAGCTGTTTTTTTTTTGTGTGTTTCAAATGAATCACATAAGGTGGTATTTATAGAAAATTTTGAATCTGAGCATTTACTAGGAAATTGCTAGGAAAAGTAGGTACAAAACATGTGTTTTATTTAAAATTCGATATTTCCTATCTATTTCCTCCTAATTTCGTAGTAAGCAACTATTTCCTCCTAATTTCGTAGTAACATTTTACTACGCCTTTACGAGGAAAGTGTTTACTACGGCATTACGAGGAAAAGTACTTTTTCCTCGTAAGCTCCTCGTAAATTTACTAAGGTCTTACGAGGAAAGTGTTTCCTCGTAAGTTTTCGAGGATCTTACGAGGAAATTTGCTTTCCTCGTAAGATTCTAGTAAAGGCTTAGTAAATTTACGAGGAAGAATTTTCCTAGTAAAATTTCCTAGTAAATGCTTTGTTTTCTTGTAGTGTTACTACCAAAGATTCCATATTATCATCTGCAACTTCATAATCAGCATTGAGGACAATAGTCACAATTTTTTATAAGCGCTGAACTTCTAAACATGTATGACTTTCGTTTGGGTGGGATTAGCCCCCTGAACAATCGATACCAACGATTTGTACACCCAAACTTTTTGCCTCATCAATTGTTCCCCTAAACAAACAATTTAATCAATTTTCTAAAATTTAAAACAAATTAGCTAAATCGTGTTTAGCGATTAAAAATTTGATTGCCCAATAATTAACCCGATTAAATCTTAACCCGAGTCTTATACCCGATATGTTATCAACCCGAGATCTCCTCTTTTTCTGGTTAAATAAAATTGGGGGTTAAGGTTCACGACATCGACAAAGAGAAAGTTCACTTGTGGTCGATCATCTGTGGCAAATGACGTACAATGATTCTATCAACATAGTTAGAGGACCACGATTTTGGATGAAAAAGGGAAAATACAAGTTAATGGTAGAGCCACCAGAGCCTGCACTTCTTGGTAGGAAGAAAAATAATAGGAAAAAGAGTTATCCCAAAAAAAAAAGGTAAACATGCATCACCAAAAAAGAGGAAACAAGAAGAAACGCTTGAAAGGCAAGGCCACATAATGCATTGTTCCATATGTGGGGAAACTGAACACAATGCAGCTTCATGCAAACTCAACCCAAAGAAGAAGATGAAGACATAATCCGAAGTTGGAAGCTCTTCTGGACCCGTAGAAGATGAAGACTGAAGCCTCTTTTGTGTTTGCTATTGTGTTTGCCTCTTTCACGGTTTAGGTACTACTCTTTTGTGTTTGCCTATTTCACGGTTTTAGTACTCCTCTTGTGTTTGTTTTCACGGTTTTGGTACTCTTTTGTGTTTGTTTTCAAGGTTTTATCTAGAACATATGTTATGAATGTTGGTTATTTTCTTATTTAAAATTTTCTTGTTTGTTCATGCTCTTGATGATGGTATTGTCTTAAGATGAAACAAATGTGATAAAAGGTCCTCTTAAAACAACACACAAATCGTTTACACTTACACACTTAATGTGTTCAACATACACCAAAACAACAATGACAAGCAACATCATTTTCACTTACGGTGTTCAACATACCAAAACAAAATGACAAACAACAACAACAATTACCAAAGTTTACAACAAAGCCATCCAAAGACACTTAGACACCCATTGTTCTGCAAAGCCACATCATTTTCACTTTTCTCAGTCTTCCTCATATCTACTAATTCTTCTTCAACTGCTATTTGTCTTTCTTCAACCAAACAAATCTCTTTAGCTAAAGCTTCATCTACTTCTCGTTGTCTTTCTTCAACCAAAGATATCTCTTCAGCTAAAGCTTCATCAACCCACTGGAAGCGATGATCTTCCCACTTTCTCTGCAACAAAAATCTAACATAACTCAAGCCAACAACATACTGTATATTTTTTTCGATGGGTTACACATACCTGGATCAAAATTTTACAACGATAGAATCTCCAAAAAGGATTCCTATGTATCTTCTAAACAAATGTACCAACCCCTTCTCTACACCAGCAGTGAGTTGGAACACCACGAACTCCTTTGTTTCGCCTTGAACACGAACCTCTGATATGCCCAGAAACGACTATGAATAAACAATAGAACAATGGAAATTGAGAGAAGAATTGAAAACTTACCCCGATTTTGCTATTTCTGATGCACTTATACTCTTGTCCATGATAGCAATATTAATTTCCCCAAATCTTAGATGAACCCTAATTTTTAAGAGAGACGAAGAGAACGTGATAGTTTTAAATTAAATGGGAATTCGGGTTGGAGTATTAGGGTCGGGTTTAGTGTTAATCGGGCTGGATATTGGGTAATCAGTTTTTGTAAATGCGTTTTATGTTTTAAAACGTGATTTGGTCTAATTGACCGAAATTGTGGAAATTGATCAAATTATTTGTTTAGATGAACAATTGATGAGGCAAGAAGTCTGGATGTACAAATCTTTGGTTTCGATTGTTCAGGGGGGTAATCGATGACAATCCCTTTCGCTTGGATAGTTGAATATATATTGACATCATCCATTTGATTCTGATAGTTAATATTATTAATCAAATTCATTAGTGTCGCTTGATTATTCTTCCAAATTTTTTGATATGACATCTTCTGAACAAAATTTGTTGTGCCGATTTTTTTTTTGATATTTTCTCTTGATGAACATCAATATTCTAAGCCGAAACTGCATAATTGATAACATCTAAAACATTGATCAAATTGTCCCAACTTACAGCCTTTAGTAAAAATAAAATAACACTTGTATAAAATATTAGTATATATTTAAATACGTAAATAACATAGTATAAAGACATATAAATAAATAAATTCTAAATTTTTTGAATAAAGATATTATTATCGATATAAATAATAAAAAGTTTATAAGTCCTAAAATTATTAATTTGTAGACACATTTACTGTAAATGATACTTGTTGGAATTAATTAAGTGAGTTGGTGTTATTTCAATTTTAACAGTATCCTTAAAACTCACATGTGAGATATAGTTTTTGTTTGTAACACTTATGTGAGATATAGTTATGATGTAATAGCAAATTATTGGACGTAACATACTTTATGTATAGGGTTATAGCAAAATTCTTAAATATGGTTTTAGTATATGAATCAATTAACTTTATTTGTTTTATTTAAACATGCACGTAACATTTAACATCATCATTTTATCATATCTTTTCTTGCAAAATCATCAAATTTGTGTTAGCTCATATGGTAAAACCAGGTTTATGCATCCTTAGATTCCTAGGTTTGGTTTTCTTATTCCATAGTGCAAAATATTTTATCTAAAAAATATTTAATATGAACATTCTAATAAATTAAATAAGATGAAAATTTGGTGTGTGCTATGAATACTAAATGATATTTATATCCCCAAAGCATAAGAGCAAAAGGAGATATGTTATGCATCACTTTTAGAAAACTAATTAGTATTTTGATTGTTGTCAATAAAACATCTATATATATAGTTGATACAATCAATGCATAAGACTACATGAACGATAAATTTAAGAACGGACAGCCCAACATAAGACTAACACACAGTGTTCACAAACAGCCGATCTTCAACGTACATATGGGTTTAGAGATCCAATTTAGTTTGCAGAAACGTCATGAGTATGTGTTTTTTGTTGATGGCTTATTCCAATATTGACTTTAATCTTCTATTTTTTTTCATCCACAAAATTTTGAGTCGAGCAAACCCCCCCTCCCCTTCATGTAATTAAACGGATTTGATTTTTGTTTACTTGTTTTGGTTGCTGACATATAACACATGGCTAAATTGGTTCAGTTTTTTTTTAAATCTGAACAATTTATTTTACTGTTTAAAATTATATGCCTTAAAAGGACGTCATTTTGTCACCCAACATTACACAAAGAATTGGATATACTACTTTTTTGTAACAAAAGAATTGGATATATTTTTCTATTAGTGTTCTTCAACAAAACAAAGAGCAGTTGAGCAAAAGTGAGATTTTGCGAGCTAGGTTTAGAGAAGACAATGAGTCAAATTAAAGAACAAAGGATGTCTCATAGCCTTCGTAAGGTCGCTTTGGGGTTGTTGGTTGTGAATCTCGAGTCTGGATGATGAGGTATATCAACCCTCATGTTTTATTTTTGTGAATTTGGGGATTGTTAATATGGTTTTACAATTCTAATGTGGATGCACCGAGTAGCTCTGGTTCTTACTGAGGCTTGTCCGAGTCGGATATTTTCAGAGCTAATGAACCAGCTTCCGGTAAGTCATGCATATATATGGTCAGATAGTGTGGTTTAAGGTCTCAAATGGAGAAGTTGAAGAAAGGCAATTGTCAAGAAGATGTGTGCAGTGTGGACGGATGCAATTGATATATTTTTTGAGCCTGAGACAAAGAGAGCAGAGTTTTCCAGAGGTAGGAATATGAGAGATGAGACTGAGGAAGATGAGAGTCATAGAGATGAGACCAAAAGACATAAACGTCAATATGCTGAAGAAGCAAGAATAGAAAAGTATGTGGCTGGTTTTGTTGATGAAGAGTTAGACGAGTATGATTAACCAGTGTGTTCAAACAATGATGACGATGGCTTTGAGTTAGAGGGGTACATAAAAGGCAGTAGTGCTTCTTTCGGGATAACTTTTCATTTTATAAATTTATAACTTTGATATTATTGAAAATATTACAAATATATGATATACATTTTAGTGTTATATATTGTGTAACTCTATAATTTTACTGGCTAGGTTTCGTAATATTTTTTCGAAATTGACATTTATATTGATTTATTATATTATTTGGTGTATATAAAATACTTCATAAAATTTAAATGTGGTTTTCGATATAATTTTACTAAATATAAAGATAATTTTATTGTGAATATAAAATAAATAATGTAATGATAAGTTTATATTTATATAAAATATGTATACATATTAATTATTAATTTATCATTTTAATGGGATCATATATTTCTATAGTGTTTTCAAAAAAAATATTATTTTATGATTTTATTGATATATTTTATTATATTTTGAATTTGTCCAACATGAAACCGTAGAAAATTATTAATTTATAATGTTTAATAATTTATTGAATATTAATTTATAAAATTTCAATTGTACTTAGATTTTTTTTTTATAATTAAAAGTTAGATGGATCCGATTTTAAAGAAACTGAACCAGTTCGCCACATGTATATCAACATCTCCGTCAAATTAGGTTTGATTTATATGGAAAAAATATAATTTTTGGTCTTTACTTTCTTCTAACGTGTTCGCTCGACCATTCTTACTCCAAAGAATATGAGATAACTCACATCTTCAAAATTCTCTTTTAATTTTTGGAACATTTTGATTTCTTTTGTGAAATTCGGTTACCACCCAGTTTGTAGTCATGTCCAATAGATCCGAATAATTTGTTTCGGATCGTATTGAAGTTATCCTCTTTTCATGCATGAAGCTGTCCAAACTAAATTTTCTATCTGAGCATGTAAAGCTGAGAGATTCCTACTATATGTCCATAATCCAAAATATTTAAAACTCATTTGATCTTTAAGATTTCACCCTAAACCATTAATACTACTATTATCGATTCATGATACATTAATTTAACCGGTAGGAATTCAGAATATCCAAAAGATACTATCTCAATCTCTATTGTAGAAGGATCATCATGATACTTATTTGCTTCCTCCTTTTTATAATATATTCATCATATTCTCTATTACAAGAAAGGTAACAACTACATCTTATGAATTTCATTTTTCAGTTGGGATGACTATCTTGCCTTCACGTCTTAACCATAATCAAGTGTTTGTCGTTTCTTGGCAAATAGAAAAAAACAATGTAACTAAATCCCTAGTTTTATGGGATTCATGACGTGTGTGAACTTTATACAAATAAAAAAAAACTACTTCCAGCTCATTGCAGAATTGCTCTCAAAATAATTAACTAACATGGCTAAATGTCCAATGCGTCGACTTTGCAAAATAAATCTTTCTTTTCTGTTAAGATGTGATCTACACATACATTTAAATAAATTAAAGCACTACGACGACAAAAATACGCATCAAACCTAATTGAAAAAATAATTATTAAATATTATTCTAAAACATAACTATAGTTTTAACCTTTTTTCAAAAAAAATACATAACTAGGGTTTTTCTTTTTCAGATAACTTGTATTTTTCTCATTACACACGGACAAGTTGACTATTGAAAAGATTTTTCCAAATAAAAAAAATATCTCACATACAGATTGACTACTAAACTTACTTTTAGAAGTATATTAAGTAACATCCCTCGATTATTTTTATTTGTCAAAGAACACCCTATCTCTTCTGCTGAATAGACTTGAAATGTAATTTTAAGTATGCCCGTCCCTCCCTATGTATGCTTATATATAGAGACTTTTCTCTTTTCTTCAACGTTGCCTTTTTCAGTTTTCTAGTATTTGCTTTTCAAAAATGGCCGGGGGAATTTTCAAGGCATTTTTATGGGTTACTGCGGCTATGGCGCTTGCAATGGCCGAGGGGGCTCGTGCACAGCTAGTGCCTTGCTATTTTGTTTTCGGAGATTCAGTCTTCGACAACGGTAACAACAATGACTTGAATACCTCCGTCAAAGTTAACTATTCACCTTATGGTATTGATTTTGCTAGAGGTCCTACCGGCCGGTTCAGCAATGGCCGTAATATTCCAGACTTTATTGGTTAGTCCTTGGCCTGGTTTATTTCTTTGCCAATATGTTGTCGATGAAACCCCTCATAGAAATTGCCAAAATTACAAGTTTTTTAGTCACAAAGTTTTCTGTGTCTAACTAATAGATTCGAATAGAGGTGTGTTTTTAGCTGATGTGTTTAACGAATAATACAAAATGATGGTGTATAATTAGAAACGGAAATATTATAACTAGATAATGATAATATGCAGAATAGTCACAACCGCTGAATAATAGACTATTTTAGTAGATACATAAAATTTTGTATGTAATGTATTCGAGAATCAGTTTTCTACAGGATTTTAAAATTTATTGTGTAATTTGTTTTCTTGTGTGTATTATCTTGTGTAATGAGTTTGGTTTATGTTTTTTCAGCTGAACTGATGGGATTCAGTGATTACATTCCACCTTTCGCTGGAGCATCTCCAGAACAAGCTCACACTGGNGTAGATACATAAAATTTTGTATGTAATGTATTCGAGAATCAGTTTTCTACAGGATTTTAAAATTTATTGTGTAATTTGTTTTCTTGTGTGTATTATCTTGTGTAATGAGTTTGGTTTATGTTTTTTCAGCTGAACTGATGGGATTCAGTGATTACATTCCACCTTTCGCTGGAGCATCTCCAGAACAAGCTCACACTGGTATAAACTACGCTTCTGGTGCTGCCGGAATTCTTGAAGAGACTAGCTACCATTTGGTAAGAACTAAGAAACTTCCTTAAATCAAGAGAGGTTAACTTAAATTTATTTTCATGCCTTTTCCTCAAGTGTTTCATTTTCGTTAATACTACTATATGTTAAGTAAAATTCCTAAACTAAATACCCGAGGAAATGAATATTGGCCAAATGTGACTCGAACTAAACAAGTAGATATTTCCTAAACGAAATTTCGGTTTCATCTTTAGACTTTAGTAATAGTTTAATTGATTTTAAACTACGTGTGGTGATCATTTGTTCTCATTTATTAGCTATGATGTTTGTTTATATAGTTTTAAATAGGGATTTTGTGTAGTGAAGTCTGAGGTTCAAATCGATCTGGCTTCAAAAAAGACCAGTTAAGATGTTGTGATACCCGGGTAAATGATTATACGGGACAACTCTCTCAAAACTATCATAAAATTATAGTTAACTCTGTGTAGTGAAGTCTGAGGTTTACTTTTCAGCAAACGGAACTTTTTGTGCACCTTACAGAATTTTAACGAATCATAAATCCTGTGCTGATCACCTAAAAGAACCCTTAATTTAATTTTTAGGCTCCAAATAGGCAACCTGAATCACAAGGAATCAGATATAAAATAATACTCGGTAACAAGAAATGAAAAAATTCAGTAAGAAAAAACAAATAAAATTTAAAGTTATTCTTGGGTTCACCCCCTAGTATGAACCTAGAGGTTCACCATCCAATAGTATTTTACTATTTCATATTTGATATCTTTTAAAAAGAGAAACAAAATTTTGTTAAATTATATTATGTTTTTAAAAATAAAAATACAAAAATAAATAAAAAATAATAATAATTAATAAAAACGAAAATGATCTTTTTTTAAAGAAAATATTTTAACACTAAACCCTAAACTCTAATCCTAAAACATAAAGGGGAAATTTGGATAAATACCTCACAATAGGATTTTAGTTTGAAAAATACACTGTCATTTAATGTTTTTGGAAACTACACTTTCTACTACGTAAAATGACTAAATTACCTTTATCAAATTCTTTAAACTATCCTAATATTCAACTTATTTTAAAAAATGAAAACTTGATTGACCACCAAATTAGAATTTTGAATTGCTGAATTCGAGTAGAATAGAAAAAAGCAAACAACTCACAAAATTCAGGATATATCAACAAGTGCTAATAATAGTATGCCAGTGTTATTCTCATATCCCAGTATTTACAAGACGAGAAAACACTTCGGCTTAGATATTGAGAAGCTCACGAGAGGTTAAGCAATGGGACGAGCAGGAACTGCCCTCGTGACTTTTTTCAAGCCATATTATAGAAAAATGTTAAAATGATGTTGAATATTATAAACTCTAAACGAATAATGATCAAAACACACATAGACAAATGTTATGGTGAATTGAGAAGGCTATATAAAATAATCCACGTGTATAATTTAAAGGCATGTCATCTTCTTCCTTTAAAATCATCTTCTTCCCGTATCACATGAGGATATTTATAAAACATCTAAGGAACACCAGTTTTTTGTTTGAACATGAAAAGTGGTGAATTCTGCTTTGGTCTGATTAGATATCAGAACCAGAATCGATGAACACATCGGCACAATTGCTCGTCATCGTGGTGTCTCCAGTCGGATAACATTACTAGGCTTGACAAGGGACATCAAATCATAGCCAAACTATCACAGAAGTACATCCTCAAAACGTTTCCAAAGGCATCTCCGAAACATATCTAGTACGTGGAACAGCTGTAGGCCAGTAGACGTACTCATGCTTTACAACCCACATATAGTCATATTATTAATTAACTAAATCAATCAAATTGTTTATGGTTATGATTAACCTGGTTATTTTGAAAAGATCTAGTGAATCGTAGGTTCTTATGATTTTATAAAGCTTTTAATTTGATTTTAAGAAAATATTTGGAGAGATTTTTATCCAATTATTCATTTAATGATATTAGATTATATGTGTATTTTAAAGATAATAGCAATAACAATATTTCCGAATTAATTTTTATTTATTAAAATATAATTTCTAATTTAGGGCAAATATGTCTTATCACATATAAAAAGAGTTAGTTTTCAAAAATAAAAAAATTGAAGTGTATTTTTCAAATTTAAAAACAAAAATAGGGTATTTTTCAAATAATCCCAAACATAAACCCATGGGTAAATTATAAACCTTTGGATAACTTTTATAAAAAAAAAAGTTCTTCAAAAAACATATTTTAACACTAAACCCTAAAATCTAATCCTAAACCCTAAATCCTTGGGTAAATCATAAACACTAAACCCTAAACTCTAATCCTAAACCCTAAACCCTTGGGTAAATCATAAACATTAAATTTTTAAAACATTACAAGATTTATCTAAAGGTTTATGATTTAGCCATAGATTTAGGGTTTAGGGTTTAGGGTTTAGGTGTTAAAATATTTTCTTTAAAAAGATTTATTTTCATTTTTATTAATTTTGTATTTATTTATTTATTTTGTATTTTTATTTTAAAAAACATAATATAATTTAATAAGATTTTGTTTCCTTTATAAAAAGATATTAAATATGAAATAGTCAAATCCTATTGGATAGTGAACCTAGAGGTTCACCCTAGGAGGTGAACCCAAAAATAAGTCTAAAATTTATTAGTTTTCTTTCAAGGGAAGTAATCATTTGAATTTTTTAATTATTTTTTTCCGCGTGTGAGCCTAAATACGATTCGTTTACAGTATTTGGTATTGTTTCGGTTTAAAACACTTTTTTATTATGCATTAAGATATCTTTTTATGACAGGGAGATAGAATCAGTTTCGGAAAACAAATACAGAACCACCAGACGATGATAATGACGGCGAATGTGCCACTGGAGAAGCTGGAGAGATGTCTATATACAATTAATATTGGAAGCAATGATTTCCTCAACAATTATTTCATGCAAGGTTATAACTACAATACTAGTCGCACGTTCACTTACGATCAATATGCTGAGTTCCTCATTGGACGTTACCGCTCGTATTTGAAGGTAATATACTTTATATGCCAAGGTTTTAGGAAGAAAAGTAGTAAGGGCATTAAGACCTTCAAATTTGATTATATATACAGTTTTTTTACATCATACTTAGTTTATTATTTTTACAAAACCTAAATCTGATGCAGAAGATTAGATCTGTTTATATAAAATAATTATGTATTTTTAAACAGATAGATTAAGAAGTATTTTTATGTACAGTTATTGTATGTCCAAGGAGCAAGGAAGGTGGCGTTGTTTGGGGTCAGTAAGCTTGGGTGCACGCCGCGGATGATCGCCTCCCATGGTGGCGGTCTAGGCTGCGCTGCTGAAGTGAACAAAGCAGTTGAACCATTCAACAAGAATCTCAAAGCCCTGCTCAGAGAGTTTAACACAAACTTCACCGATGCTAAGTTCACTTACGTTGATATTTTCACCAGTCAAAATCCTCTTGCGTATGCTGCCTTAGGTAAGTAGAACTAAATTTATAGTGGACTTGACATTTTGACCCAAGAGGAAATCCGTTTTGCCGAATAATTTTTTGTTAAACTAATTTTGTTGTTCGTGTGTTTTCTTTGACGAACTAAAACCATATATAGTAATGCTATAAATAAATGTCTTCTTAGCATTCTTATACTTCAGTTAGATTGCAGTAAAATCACAAATTCTTATATTGTATTAAGTTCCTATTATTTTACCTTTGCGTATGTTTAAGCAAAAAAAATTTTATCATGCGTATAATTTTACATTTTTGTAGGGTTTACGGAAACAGAAAAGAGTTGCTGTACGGTCGAATCAGGGAAAGAACTATGTGCGGCGAATAAACCGATTTGTGAGTTTCGAAGAAGGTACGTGTACTGGGACAAAGTCCACAGCACTGAGGCGGCCAACATGTTTGTGGCAGATTCTGCGTTTGCTGGAGTCAATGCTTTTCCTTACAGCCTTGCTTCACTTGCAATATTATAGGGATACTATTCTCAAAAAACATCATTCAAGTTTCTTTTTGTGGAAATTTATATATACATTTTTAAAATTCAATTTTTTATGATTTAACAAGGAAAACTTTCATGTGGTCAACATGTATAAGCAAATTATTAGTCACATGGTCGACTTTAGTTTTAAAAGGAAAATGATTTAAAATAATTTATAACGTGCACGTAACCCTCCAATCAGATATGCAAAATATACTTAACTAGGTGTTTTGTCCGCATTTGCGGGCATAATTTTTTTTATGAATATTTATTAGTTGATGTTTCATTAATTTAAAAATTAGCATAGTAAGTTATTATTTATGTTTTCAAAAAGTAAAAATCAAACATCAAATAATTATCAATGACAAAGTTCAAACATCAAAAATATTTAAAAGAATATATTTCTAGAACTATTTTTCTTGATTTATATTTAATTATAATTTATATATCTTAATTTAAAATTTATTATTAGAAAATCATATTTTCAAGATAATAATATAATACATAAGTTATTTATTTTCTGATAATATAATATGATAATTTGTTTAACTATATAATAATTATATAAGATTATAGAAATTATGACATATAATTAAAATTACCTAAAATCATTGAGAACTTAATGAATCAGAAAATTCACTTTTTAAATAATTTTTCTTGAGTGATGATTTATATTTAATTAATAATAGATAATTTTTTATTTTACTTTTAAATTATATAATATAAAAATATATTTTCAGGATAATAACATAATACATAAGAATTACCATATTCTCTAAAAGTATAATATTATTAGTGTAAATTTATTTCAATTATAGAATAACTACAACTTTTTATATCTTAATTTTAAATTTCTAAGAAAAAAATATACTTTCAAGACAGAAACTTAATATATAAGAAGTATTTTATTTTCTAAGAATCTGATACTATTAATAGAAATTTGCTTTAAATATATAATAAATTATATAAAAACTATATAAATTGATAAATTATCAAAATTACCTAAAATCCTGGAAAATTTGACTAATCAACAAACATCAAATTCACTTCTTAAATAATATTATAGATTTTTTACATGTAAATTTTAAATTTATAATAGAAAAATATTTTTTCTAGATAACATCATAATACATAAGAATTAACATATTTTCTAAATAATCATATTATTAATATAAATTATTTTTAATTATATATCAATAATAAACAAAATTATAGAAATTCTGATAAATGATCAAAATTACCTAGGATCATAGAGAAAAATCAACAAATTCACTTTTCAAATAACTGTTTGATGATTTATATTTAATTATGATATATTTAATTATTAATGATATAATTTTTATCTGATATATTTAATTATTAATGATATAATTTTTATCTTAATTTTAATTTTTATAATAAGAAAACATATTTTCAACATAACAACATAATCCATAATGATTATTTTATTTTAGAAAATATTAAAATTTTAATATAAATTCGTTTTAATTATATCTAAATATTAAATTATTAATATAAATTCGTTTTAGATAAATATAATAGTGTTTATATCTTAATTTAAAATTTAATTTTTATATATAAAAATATCTTTCAAGATAAAAACATAATTCACAAGAATTATCTTATTTACTAAAATATGATATATTAATATAAATTCGTTTTTATTAAATAATAATTTTTATATCAAATTATTTAAATAGGATAAATAAATAAATATACCTAAAATCAAGGAGAAGTTGACAACTAAGCAAATTACGTGCCAACGTTATTGTTTTTCTCTTTCAAACTCTATTCGAGTTGAAGCCTATATATACTCAATGAATAATAATTGTTAGCAAAGTCTAAAAAGAAATATTTGTTTTCCAAATATATTGCACAAACTATAACTGGTCTTGCTAAATGTGTAGCAATTTACCTATTTTGTCTCAACTGTAGCGAAACACAAACATAGTTCCATCTTTAAATTTTGTGATGGATTGCTACAATGATAGTCTTAGACCGCTACTGATCTGGAGAACAATCCGTTTCTATGTCAAGTGCGCTGCAAGATCATTTCCAATGTTGTTATCAGCGTTTAAGAAAGTGATCTAAGCGGCGCTACGCTAGGTCTTATAAGACTGTGGTGATCCCTTATATATTACTTCCTCCGTTTCATTTTAATTGTCATTTTAATGTTTCACACACAGATTAAGAAAACATTGATTTTTACCTATTTCCAAGATAAAAACACAATTACCTATACACCTAACCACTTTTCAACCAATAGAATATAGAATGGGAAAATTGTCATTTAAATCCCGAACTTTCAAATTTGGTTGAAAAAAAGCATGAACTTTCCCTTGGACCATTTAAAGCACGAACTTACATTGACTAGCCATTTAAAGCACGAACTTAATTTGACTAAACCATTTTTAAGACATCGTTAAATCGGTTAACAGATTAATTAGACGGGGTTAAGTTCCGTTTACTGTTTCCGTTAGCTCTAAACTCTGCGTTTTAAAATTAGAATAACCCCCAAAATCCTATCTTTTCCAAAACCAAATCCCTAATTTCCCAAATCGAAGTCACTCAATCTCTCTCTCGATTTCACGATGAGTTCATGTTCAGAGGAACAATACGAAGGAGGAGAGCGCGGATTTCCAACGAAGTGTGAGTGTGGATTACGTGTGATACCTTTACTATCAAAGACACAAGAGAATCCGGGAAGACCTTTCTACCGTTGTATAAGCAAAAAAAAGGTAAGCTTTGTAGCTGTTGTGTACGGTTTTTAGACAGAATGATATCTAATGTTGTCTTGAATTAGGGACATTTATTTAAGTGGGTTGAGGATGCTGTATGTGAGGAGGTTGAAGATGTTATTCCAAAACTTGAAATCATTGACAGGGAGTTTACTAAAACCAAAAACGAAGTTGATGAGTTAAAGGCTTTGATCGAAGATTTGAAGGTAGATGTAGCAAGGAGCAAGACAGAATTGAGGTATTGGAAAGCTTTCATGACAGTGTGTGTTGTGTGTGTCTGTGTTGTGACCTTTGCAAGGAAGATGTAGCAAGCTAGGTGTCGCCATTGTTGTTTGGTTCTATGTATGTCAACATTGTTCTAGTAGTGCTTTTGGTGTGTTTGTGTATGTCTGACATTATCTATGTAGTGCTTTGTGTGTGTTTAGTTCTATGTATGTCGAGACTGTTGTTGCCTAAGTAGCATTTGGTAATGAGACTATGATGACATTGTTGTTGCCTAAGTAGCATTTGGAAAAGAATCAAGCTTGTTGTCTTTTGTTGTTGAATGAGTATTATAGAAACATATCAAGCTAAAAACAGGGTTTTAAACATGATAGATCGAAAATAAAATATCACCAAACCATGTTCTACAACCAAAGTAAGAGATCAACAAACCATCATCCAAAATAAAACATCAACAAACCATCCGAAAATAAAACATCACCAAACATCCGAAAATAAGACAAGACTTGTTTTCAGTTCTTAAACAAAAACAAAAGCAAAACAGCAGAGAGTAAAGACTTGTGATGTCAGCTCTTAAACATGACTTTGAGACAGCTCTTGTGATCCTTGACCGTGAACTTGAGACATCCTTTGTGATCCTTGACTTTGAGTTTGAGAAAGTGTCATCCCATCCTGTTTAAAAAGAGAGTTAAGATTTGTTCAAAAAGCATTTTAAGTACAAATAATACACTAACCTGGTTCTTTTTTGGTCGTCCCCTTGGTCTTTTAGGTTCGTCCGGGACAGTCTCATTTACACATCGTTGCTTATTGTGTCCTTCTTTCTTGCAGTTGGAACATGCAATCACCCTAAAGGCACGAGATAACCGTGTCTTACTCGAAGAAGCGGCAGTCTCGTATCTTCCTTTTTTCCTTGCATAGTTACTTGGCCTTCCGGGATCACCTTTACGCCATGGTGGAGGTAGGACAGGTAGTCTATTTAATCGAGGCCACAGAAGCATACCTTGAACAGGTCTTATTCCTGGTTTGTAAGTTTCCCTCCACGTTTCTGTTTTGTAGTAATCACTCACGTAGTCTCCAACTCTTCCTTTTTTCCCTATTATAACTGCTGCAGCATGAACACAAGGTATCCCAACCATCTCCCATTTTCTGCAACCACATGACCAGTTGTTCATATCAATAGAATAAGAAACATCCTTTCTCTCAGAACCTTAGTCTTCGCCTTACCACATTGCTCATCGCTTACAACCAGATTGTATTCTCTCAACATCTCTGCAACCATATCTTGCTTTGTCAGCTTCGGATTCAATCTCAACCTCTCCGCAGAGAGCCATGCTATAGTTGATCGCTTCAGCATTTTTGAATAACCCGATCTGACACAAGTATGCTCATCAATATAAACCTTCACTTGCATCTTCTGTTTTCTCTTCTCATATGAACAATAAATCCTCCACCCACAGGGAACATCAGTATCTGAACACTTAGCACCAATCTTTTTTGCTTGCGACCTATATAACTTGACGTCATATCTAGTTTTTAGAGAATACCTCAGAACAGCAAGCTTGAAATCTTCTGCAGAATTAAAAGTTTTTCCCAAAGCAAGTAGTTGGTCCGGATCTTGATGGTCTCTACGAATTTGCTCATCCTCATCGTCCTCATCATCAGAAGAAAAAGGATCGGGAATCTTCTCATCATCCCATATATCATCTCCACTATCTGCATCACTTTCATCTCCCTCATCTCTCGCATCATCTTCATCCAGGTTTTCTTCATCAACCTCTTCATCAACCTCTTCTTCGACATCTTCCTCATCTTCCTCTTCTTCCTGATCTTCCTCATTTTCGATACCATCACAATCGTCATCATTAGCAACAGCACAATCATCTTCACTTAAATCCTCGTCTATAAGAGCCTTTGAACCTTGGGTCTCTTCTACCCTACAAGCCTCTGCTCGAGCTACAGCTTCACGAATCCTTGCTTCACGGGCTCTTGATTCACAATTCTCTGCTTCAGTACGCTCTTCTTCATGAGCTCTTGCTTCACGAGCATGTGCTCTTGCTTCACGAGCCTCTGCTTTACTATTCTTTGCTTCGCGAGCCTCTGCCTCACGAGACCTTACCTCACGAGCATGTGCTCTTGCTTCACGACTCTCTACTCCACTTCCGTCATTCACAGATTCAGCAATTCTCTTCTTTCCTCCTCGAGTAGGCAATTTCTCTCTTGGGATTCCTTTGTTTCGTATCATTCTCGCTCAGATTTGAGAGAGAGATTGAGTGAATTCGATTTGGGAAATTAGGGATTTGGTTTTGGAAAAGATAGGATTTTGGGGGTTTTTCTAATTTTAAAACGCAGAGTTTAGAGCTAACGGAAACCGTAAACGGAATTTAACCCCGTTTAATTAATCTGTTAACCGATTTAACGACGTCTTAAAAATGGTTTAGTCAAATTAAGTTTGTGCTTTAAATGGCTAGTCAATGTAAGTTCGTGCTTTAAATGGTCCAAGGGAAAGTTCATGCTTTTTTTCAACCAAATTTGAAAGTTCGGGATTTAAATGACAATTTTCCCAATATAGAATATCATATAAAACTAATAAATTTTGTCTCGAAACTCTAAAAGGACACTTATTTTGAAACAAAATTTTTTCTCTAGAATGACAATTATTTCGAAACAGAGGGAGTAAAAGAGAAGTATTGTAATAAATGCATTCACACTGTAACTTACATGTGTCAGCTTCACAATCATTTGGCAATTAATGCGTTCACACACTAATTTTTAAAATTCATCATTGAATGTGTTTATACACTATTTTTTAATTAATTCATTTTTTCCTACATTTTTAGCCTTTGTAATAATAAATTAAAAATTTTTACGTGAAACTAATGAATAATATCTTTATTGTAAAAAAATTACAAAATCATTAAGATTCGCATCAACTAAAGTTTTGCGATGAAAATGTTTGTATATATTGAAAGTTTCGTATCTTGCCGAAATTGGTTTTGGTTGAGGCTTCGCTACACAATAAAAACAAATAAAGTGATTGATTATGAATTAAAGAAACTAAGGTGAAAAACACAGCACGTAAAGTCAGATCTTTAGTTTAGTCAAATATTAATTTTTATAAAATTTTCATATCAGACTAAGAATTATAAACAAAATCAAATTGGTAAAAAAAATCAGAAATCAGAAAAGCTTGAAAAATAAATAAAAATCACAAAATTGATAAAAACAGAATTCAGATACCAAGTGAAGATATAACTTTGTAATATATATTATTTATATTGTTTACGGCTACAATTTGATTTTCTTCATATGAAAAAAATATTATTAATTTCTAGGTTTTTTTTTTATGTTTACTTAATTTTATTTAAGAATTTACTATCATGTGTTATTTTGAACAAAAAAGTTTTAAATCTTAATTAACGGTATATTCATATATTTATCATCACATTATATACTTTTACATATATATACATGTACACATTGACATGAACGACTATATAACTAAATATTCACCACAAGTCAGAATTTTGATGCTCATTGAAGTTGAATTTTTTTTTAATGTTTTCTTTCACTATCGCTCAAACTGTAGTGAAATGTTTTGTGTTAATAATTTTATTTTCTTTTTTCTTCAAATATTATTTAGATTTTATTTGATTTTACATGTCTTTAGAAATTATAATATGAAACTATTAATTCGACATAAAAATGTCTAAAATTTATATAAAAAGAAACCAAACAAATAACAATAGTTTTTGATTATCACTGAAAAAAATCAAAAACATCAAACATTTAAATCAAATAAACCAATATTCATGCTAAACAGACATAATATCATTTTTATCTTAAAATTAACAAAAAGTAATAATCTAGTTACTTCTTAAACCGTCTAAACAATCAATATTTTACCTAGTTACTTCTTAAACCGTCTAAAAAATCAATATTTTAATAATCAATAATATATACTTTATTATTTACAAAATGTAATAACTAATATATTATAATATGGAAGCTTATGAAAATAAAATGATGTAAAGTTTAACATTTTAAAATATTAATATCTAATATAAAACATTATATATATATATATATATATATATATATTTATTATATTTTTATAATTTATAGCCACTAAAAAGCCAAACTAATAATCTTTTCGCTTAGTTGTTTTAGGCGCTAGGGTTTTAGACCATCATTATCGATATCCTCGGTCTCTTAGGGTGGGGTTCTAAGCTTTTCTAAAATACGTTTATTAGTTTTTAACTAAGAAAAACTAAGATCCGTCTCTTAAATAAGAATTATAAGACAATCTCCAACAAGAGATCTTAAATTAGGATTCTAAATAATTTTTTAATTGAAAATAATCAAATTAAAAATTTTAGATACTTGTCTAGTTTTAACTCTTCCAATGGTAAAACCAAGTAAAGGTTCTAAATTTTAAAAATTTGAAAATTTGTAATTAGATTACTTGCATCATACTCTATAATAAAAAAACTTATAATTATTGAATTACATAAAAATTAAATTAACTTGACATAAAATAAGTTTAATAGTATTCTACTTTTATATTAATAATATTATATGTCATATATATATATGAATATATTCATAAATTATGCATAAATATTTAGTTTATGTATTATTTAAAATTTTTGTTTTTTTAAATTATTTAATTATTTTTACGGATCTGAATATGAATCCGGATACCTGCGGATATCACAATATCTAGACAAATATCCAAAGTCTGGATATCCGGAAGACACAAATCCAAAACCGGATACTAAAATCACAGATCCGACGAATCCGGATCCAGATACTTCAAATTTTTTGCATATCCGGATTCGTTCCACCCCTAGTTATCATCACCATGTGCCAAATGAAGTTTAATTTTTTTTTTTTGAAATTACTACATATCACAAAATGACACATGTTATTTAGAAGTGGTTCTAAAAATGTTAATTATAGAACCATATCTATCTAATTTGTGTCTTTTTGATTTAAATTTTAACACTTAATTATTTAGATACACCATTTAGAACTCTCTTAGATCCTCTTTTGGAGATGGTCTAAGAGACGTCTCTTAGCCAAAAAAAAATGAAGAAAAAAACTTATGCATTAAGAATCCCATCTTAAGAGATGGGAGATAATGATGCCCTTAATGCCTATCACTTTCTTGAACACTGGCTGCTATTGACAAACTCTTATCTAATTATATTTCAACTTTTGCTATATATAGTAACCACAACAATATAAAATTCGGATATATTATAAAAATATTTGTAAATTTATTACTTAAATTCAGGAACCATAACAGTGCAGAATCCCTACTCGAATCTTTAATTCAAATGAAATTGCATAAATATATGGATATTATAACCCTATATATCTTCATAAAAGTGTTTCTTAAAGGCCTCCATGTGAGCCATCTGTTGACAAGTGGCAAGAATGAGAGAGCCGTCTTCATTTTTATCTGCCAATAACAGGGAGTTCCCATCGAGGTCATTCGTGCCTGGTCCCATGTAGACCTCCTGGCCCCATCCGAAATTAAGACCATACATTGGCAGAGTTAACCAGCTCACAAGTCCAAGATTAGGGTTCCCGTAGAATGGACCATCCTTGCTTCCCAGGGTATGAATATCTTGAAACTCCTTCAGATTCTCGTGGCTCTTTAGATACTCTACCGCAGTCATAACGTAATCGTTTGTCACATTCTTTATAGCTTTACTGATTTTTCCCGCCGCGAAACCCAACTCATTCGATATCAATTCACCTATATGCACAAGAAAATTGCCTACATAAAGAATCTGCATTGGTCTACGTGCATGAGAAGCAACCAAAAGATCCTCCATCTAAATTTTAATTCCTACACATGAAGTATTTAATTTCTACATCTAGCCTATACACCGATTGATGATATCTTTTTGTAGTCTGGGATTATTGTTTGGTACGAGTTGTGATTAGGGCCTAGATTTTGAAAGCTAAAGATCGTTNCTACATAAAGAATCTGCATTGGTCTACGTGCATGAGAAGCAACCAAAAGATCCTCCATCTAAATTTTAATTCCTACACATGAAGTATTTAATTTCTACATCTAGCCTATACACCGATTGATGATATCTTTTTGTAGTCTGGGATTATTGTTTGGTACGAGTTGTGATTAGGGCCTAGATTTTGAAAGCTAAAGATCGTTAAGTAAAATTTTGTTTCTAATAGCTTATAAGCCTATTTATTTATGTATATTAACTCTTTTTATGTATATTAACTCTTCAAATTTTTAAAAAGTTTAAATCAATTTTTCGTCGGGCTATATATATCAAAGACCGATCTTGGTTGCAATTAACTATACATGTAGTGATGATGAATTGTGGTTTAAACAATAACAATTTTTATTATCAACTGATAAACAATAAAAGTCTATCAGCTTAAACTAAAACATTTATTTTCACGTGAATTAAACTGTACCACTATACATCCAAAAGTTCTTGGACATCTTTTGTTAAATTTAAATTAATTGGAGATATGATTCTTATACGAATTGGAAACCATTAGGATAAGTTATACCTAGTTTTAGATAAGCTTTCTTATAATAATTTTCTTTGGTTTTGGAATTTACTAATCCCTTAGTATAAACTGTATAATAAATACTCATCATGATGATCAATTAATAGAACATAAAAAAATTGATCCTTAACTACAATTTATCAAAATTAGATAAACTATCCTAAAGAAAACTTAATCTCGTTTGTTATGAAACTGCAAGCACATATATAACATATATAGCCAAACTAATAAATAAATCTCAAATATAACCAACTGAAAATCAGACAAAATAGATGACATAATCCTACCTGAGGTGCTTGCTGCGACCACATCAAGAGTGGCATTGCCAAAATAGCCAGCTGGCAGAGGTGGCTGCACCCGATTACGAGCATCAACACAGATTACCAAACCCGTGGGCTGCTCTGGCGAGTGCCCACGTGCTTTGCAAGCGCACCTCCATACGTGTCCCGTGACCGTCTCGTACCTTGTAAACCCTCTCGCTGGATCAGCGTATTGGCTTCTATTCGCTCTACTTCTAAGCCTCTCAAGCTGAGATTTGCTCAGCTTTAGCATCGCCACAACTGTTTCCTTCTTTCTTTCTTCTACACAGTCCGTTTCACCGATCAGTAACGGCGGCTCTTCAAACTCTTTACCTTCGTACAGAGGTGATGAGGCAAACGGCGGAAGCGGTCCACCAGCCCATAGGACTTTGCGGTCGAGAAATGGCACGGTTTCTAGAGGTTCACCGCGTGCGATTCTTCCCCATTCGGACAGGAAGTGAAGTGCACTTTGTCCATCGACCACCGCATGTGAAACTTTGACACTTAGGCTTATTCGGCCGCATTTGAACTTGGTGACCTGAGCTAAAAAGAGAGGGATTGTTTCGATAGCGGTTTTGTAATTTACTTGCGGCACAAGTTTCTCGAATTCCTTCGTCCCCAAGAAATTGTTGAAATCTGAAAGCTCAGCCTCGGATTCAGCTTCAATGAGTGTCACTCCCGCAGCATTACAATCGAGCTCTAGGCGGCCCCGAGGGAGCCAACGAAGACGGCCGGCCAAAGGGTAGAAATGGAAAAGCGCATGGCTCAATGAGTTTTGTAGAGTTTCGACTACATTGCCTTGGAAGGAGACAGGTGGCTTGTCATAGAAGTAAATGGTGGGAACGTGAGTTATTGTACCAACTTGATCCCATTCGGCTAATGGAAATCGACCGGTCCATGTTGGTTCAGCCGGCACGACTGTGTATGTATTTATAATAATGGCAGCCATATCACAAACTGCTTCTTTCTTCTTCTTTTTTAGTTTAGCCGTAAAGTACTAACTATATGATGCAGTGAATCGTATGAGTTTATCGTCTTTGCACTTGATCAAAAATGTTTTTCTCGTGATATAGTTTGTTTCCTTGTAAACAGCTTAGATAATGGAAGTTATAATAAGGTTTAACTTTTGTCTGTCAGTATGATCATGCATATTGTCCTTTTTCTTAATTTCATTCAGACCGTAGAATAATATTCGGACATGCTTAAACTCCACATTTACAATGAAGAAAATATATTTATTCATTATACATATATATGGCTGATATGTGTATTGTTTTTTACCAAAAAAAAATTAAACTTTGCTGATGTATTGTTTTCTTTTTGATAAAAGCTGATGTATGGACTTCAGTCACTGGACTAACACCAGTGCAGGCAAGTATTTATACAAAAATTATATTTTCTGTTGATCCAAAAATATTTAAATAAATTTGTTTATTATTATAAAATGTGGATCAACGGCGTGATCATTCCGGATCCAATTTGGTGTCTCCTCATTTTTTACGGCTAAGGTCCAAGTTTTTTTAATATATGGGTTTTTATACAAAAGATAATAAATATCTAAAATATAATGTATTTTGTTTTAAACATAAGTTTTTAAATATCTTCTTTAAATTATTTAAAAATACATTTATAAAATATTTAAATAAATATTAGTTTTAGGTGTCCAAGTTTTTTTTTACCGTAGACCATATGAAACTGTTGGGCTAGCCCTGAGTAACACTCGAAGCCATATTAACGTGGGATAACACATAAATTAGTAGTTCGTCATGTACCATTTTTGCTAGAAACTATAATGCTGGTGTTTGCGAAATAAAAGTAAAACCATACAATTTAGATATCACTAAAAGTTTGGAATCTTATTAGTCATCTATCTAATTAGCTGCGTATCGGCTAGAGCTGGAAAATTGAGATTCGGTTCGAGTTCTATAACACCCTGACCGTCCACGGTTAATGGGGTAGCCACGCTCGTTCTCTTGGCCTATGGGTCCCATCCCGTTCTAACGGCCGGTCCGTTAATTTTTCAAGGTTTTAGAGTCATGTTTACTGACCCTACAATCACCACTTGACATTTCCTTGTGTCTTGGCCTCACTTACACGGTATCACAAATCACTTCGCAATAGGTCACCCATCCTTTGACTACTCCAGTTTAAACACGCTTAACTCTGGAGTTCTCTTTAGATGTGCTCTCGAAAAGGTAAGTGCACTTTGATGACATAGGTAATCAAATCATTCCTCTTAAGTCTTTCCACATATCACAACTCGAGATGTTACAGGTTCATTCAGATTTCGGTTCAGGTTCATTCGGGTTTTTGGTTTTCGGGTTCATGAATTTCAGCTTCATTCAGATATTATAAAAATTTGGGTTGGATTCAGTTCGGATTTAGTCAGATTTGGGGTTTATTAACATGTCCAATATCTGGCTGAACCTAAAATAGTTTCGGTTTCAGATACTAATCGGGTTATTAGTTCTAAAAATACTAATTTATACTTAATTCAACTTACTATAATTCAATTGTTTTATTAAATTTATGTATTTAGCTTATATAAACCATATTGTTCTCATTCAAAATAATATTATGAAACTTATCTATCAATCATATAAGATTTGTCATTAACTATATGTGACAATACTAAACATATCATGATTAATGACAAACCAAATCCTTGTATGAACGAAAATCATACATAATGAAACATAAAAAATCAAAATTTAACAACTAACAATTCTGTAAACGTAAAATATTATTATACTTTTCTAAAAAAAATAACATTATTTAAACTTCAAAACAAATTTATTCGTAACGTAAGTTCAAATGTAATATCAATCATAAACATTAATATTAACCACATAACACTATATATCAGATTAAATATTTGAGTTAGTTATTCATATAATAACTAATTATTCTTGGTACTCAATAATATATTAATGTGTTTTGGAAACATATTAGAAATTTAGATTGGGTATGACACAAATTTTTGTAAATTTAAAGTTTCGGGTTCTTTCGAATATCCATTTAAGTTTGAGTTTGGTTTGATAAAACCCATAACTCGAAATAGTGTAAAACAAGATCCATTCGATAATTATGTCGGGTTTGGATCGGTTTAGATTTTTTTTTATCGGATTGGGTTCGGTTCAGATTTTCGGATTCGATATTTATGGCCAGCCCTAGTATCGGCCATATGCGCCAATCAATAAAAAACATAAGATTACGATTTTTAAATGAGAGAAAAATACTCAAAAAGTCATTTCCAACTCCAGTAATGCATATGGTTACTCGTTGTTGGGTATTACATGGGCCATTTAAAGCCCAAATTGAGCGGTGGAAAAATAAATCCTATTCTAAAACCTGACCCGAACCCGTACCCTACTGGATCTTCTTTGCTCGCCCAGTCTCGTAAAATCATAATCGACGATCGAATCTGTGCGGGTTTTCTTCTTCTTTGAATTACACGGCGTACCAATCCCTCAAAAACCACGACAATGGAAGGCACATCAGATTTCACTTTGGTGACGAGGAAGCCTTGCTTTGGTCTCCCAACAGCTTGCCCTAACTGCCTTCCCGCTTACATATACCTCAAACTATCTCACCTTCCTTTTCAGCTTGCCTTCAATTCCACCTTCCCTGATTCAGGTATCAACTCCAGATGTAGTGTAATTGAATCAGAGATTCGTATCCGTACCCTTAGGCTCTTGCTCGTTGGTGTTATCAGAGTTTAATTAGGGTTTTTAAAAGCTATTTTAATTACTGTTTTAAAGGATTCGTTTTCAAGAAAAATATACCCTAAAGTATTTACTGTTGGTTACTCATAGTTTCAATAGGGTTTGAGGTTTAAAGGAGAATGCTTTGGTGAATTACAATCTGGATTATGAAAGTTACATACTTTGGAGATTTGTGATTTAGATTTATTATTTGTTTTTTTATGTAGAAGAGCTGCCATACTTTGAAAATGGGACATATGTTGCATACAACAATGAAGATGGAGGGGTGATTGAGAAACTGAAGAAAGATGGGATTGTTAATCTTGACTCTCAGCTCCAGTCTCTTCCGGAGTATATCTCCTTGAAGGCTCTTATTGTATCATGGCTGCAAGAAGCGCTTACGTACGAGATATGGGTTGGTACCGAGGGAATATCTGCTTCTAAGATCTACTACTCAGATCTTCCTTGGGTGATCAGCAAGGTCCTGTTTTATAAGCAGACGTATTTGGCCAAGAACCGTTTAGGACTCACCAAGGAAAACGCTGAGAGAAGAGAGAAACTGGTACTTTTGTGTGCTAATTTAGAACATATGCGGTTTTTGAAAATTTGCTACTTATAGTTGAAGGGTTTTAAATGAACAGATATACAAGAGGGCAAGTGAGGCGTATGAAGCTTTGTCGACTAGGTTAGGCGAGCAGAAGTTTCTCTTTGAGGACAGGTATTACTGCAATTAATCACATTTACCTAAGTTTATTTGTATCCTTTACATAAGATTCACCATGTTTTCTCTTTTGCTCAAACAGGCCGTCGAGTTTGGATGCTTTCTTTCTCTCACACATACTTTTTACCATCCAAGTATTACCGGTAAGCAGCTTTACAAAACTCCACCACTATACTTTTCAGCTTATTAGTTTATCAGGTTGAATCTAGGCCTCCTTAGTACGTAGTTTCTTTCTGGGGCATGATCAGGAAACATCAGTGCTTCGGAGCAAACTTCTGGAACATAGTAATCTTGTGAGATATGCTGAGAAACTCAAGTCAGAGTTCATTGAAGCGTCTTCATCATCTCCTTCCCCTCCGCTTCACTCATTCCCTTCCTCATTTTCAGGAAAGGGTAAGACACATCCAAAACTTATGATTTATATACTCACTCTCATTATGCATCTCTTATAAGCAACAGAATTTGATATGTCTAACTCTGTGGAGAAAATGAATCTTATCTGTTGTTCAGGTTCGAAGCCAAAGAGCAAACCAAAGGCAGAGAAGACTGAAGAGGAGAAAAAGTTCAAGAAGAGAGCAAGATTCTTTCTTGCTGCTCAGTTTCTCGCGGTTGTTATTTACGTATCCGTGATGGGAGGCGTTAGTTCCGATGATATGGAATATGAAGATGATGATTAGTAACTATCAGGCAAAGTCTTTACCCTCTTCTTTGTAGACTCGTTGACAAAAACAAACCAGTCATTTCTCTCTTTTTGGCTCTGAAAGAGATTCTATTGGCTTTTGTGTTAAATTAATTGGTTTTAAGACAATGTATGAGCAGATTGCCACCTCAATAATGAAATTGGAAGACTCTTTGTTGTTCATCCTCAATATCAACTGAACTAACTCTGTTTGTCTTACTAATAAAATACAAATCTCATCCATCTAAAAACTATATTTTGATAGCAAAAGATGATAGCCAGAAACCTAACCTCATTTCTAAACTCTCTTAACACCAAACAAAACAAAATAACAGTTAGGTGTTGAAATTTACATGTGGACGTTGTTGCCCTGATGTGGCGTCAGCAGCGTCCTCTGGTAGGTTAATAAGCTTTGAGTGTTCATCAGCCGAGTTGATAGCAAACTCAGCTAGTGAGCTCACTGCAACAGACATCCCATGGCAGAGAACTTTAACAGAAACCTCTGCAAGTTTCTCAGCAGTCATTACAACATCTTCATCAGCCAACACTACTAGGTCCAAGCCTTCTGACCCGGAATATCTCCTTGACCCGCTTCCGCTCCGACTCGGGTCTTCCCTAACCTGTCTTGCATATACTGAACTCATCCCGGAGGCAAAGAACTCGAGTTTGTCCAAAACCAGCTTCACGTCCAAGCTGTTAAGTATCTTTGACCATTGGATGCAGAGTCGGTATATAGGGTGAGGACATGAGGATAATCTAACTTTCTCAGGGTCAGGATCACATCTGAGACATCTGAGAAGCCAACCAGACAATGCTGTCATGTAGGATCTTTGGGACGTGATCCAGAACTCAAAGCAGGCTCTCCAGTTTCGAATCTGAGCTTCAAGATTTAAAGCAGACTGAGGTAATCTTTGAGAGTTGATGGTCTCTGGCATTACTGGAGGGTGTTGTCTCTTCTTCTGACGCTTTGAAACCTGTGTCCCTGCAAGTAACATTTTGGCCTCGTCTAGTGTTCGTTTCTGTATCTCATGACTCTCTGCCATCACTTGCCACATCCTTGTTAATCTGTTGTGATCATGACCATGCCATTTTGTCAGCCTTGAGGACGGTTAAAAAAGAGAAACCAAAGAGGAAGAAGTTGTTGGTGTTACCCTTGAACAAGCTCGAGAAGCTGAGGCAACAGTTCTTGATCACGAAGAGTCTCGATCCTTTTGGAGATGGATTCAATAGAATGTATAGAGACCTTTATCTGTGTGTCTAAGTCTCTTATTGTAGCCCTTGTTTTATCAACCGAAGACGGATCATCTCCTTTAACATCTTGATTCCTTAGCTGCATACATTTCTTCTCGTATGCTCTTCTAACACGTTCTCCAGACTGTTACATGACCAGAAAAGGATGTTCATCTATGAACAGGAGAGACAAAAAAACGAGATTCCGACAGCTACTACTACCTTAACTTCATCGTAGAGTTTCTTCTCCCACGCAAAAAGTTTGTCCAATGTTGTTTGGTGGCTACCTGAAACCATGCAAGATTCATCTGAAACATCGCTTCTAGTTTCAGAACCACCAGAAGAAGTGAGCAAGAATCTTGAAGAAGAAGATCTTGATGATCCAGAGCGAAACAAAGCTACAGGATTCAGCTTCTTCATGGCTACAAACACACAAAACACTTCCAAGTCAGTCACAAACATAGAGAGATTGCAACTTTTTCTCATGGACTTACCACTATGATCATTAGGAGATGTTGTGTACTGAGCTCTGTTAGCTTCCAAAAGCCCCGAGACTTCCTTAGCCGCATCACAAATAGTTGTGAACTCATCTTCAAGATCTTTGATTACCTCTGCCATGCTCGTTGGTCTCCTGTTCACATACACCGTGAAACCTGGCGTATCTCTTTTAGCAACATTAGCAACATTCTTCACCTCTTCAACGTTCCCAACTCCAACCACATTATCTGTAGTTTCTACTTTAGGCACCTCAACGGTTCGCTGTTCTTGCGTTCCGACGCATTTCTCATCATCTCCTTCCTTCTCACTTTCACAACCACTATCCGTAAACTCCCCATCATCATCCTCATCATCACTCTCATCAACATCTTCAACTTTAACTTCCTCATTGCAACAACTCTTATCAACATTACCTCTACTTGCTTCGTTTGCTTTCAAGTTATGATGATTCTGAGACCTCGGAGGTTGAGGTTCATCATCTTCCTCCAAATCTGGAATCCCTTCTTCCTCTCGAACACGTCTCAATCCTCTAATCTCATCATCCATGGCACCACTCTTATCAACACTTGCCCTATCATAATTATAACCATAATAATCTAATGAAGAGAAAGGATTCCAGAAGAAGTCCCACTGAGAAGTCTGCGGTGAAGGAGGTGGAATGTTATGAGTGCTTAACCTTTGCTCAGGAGAGCTCAACGGGTTCCAAAACGAAGAAGAAGAAGAAGCTGCAGAAGTGTTCATGTTCATATTCATATTCATCCCAAAGAAACCATCTGCTTCTTCTCTGTATTGGTGACTCGGCGGTGAAAATGACTCAACACGAAACGTTTCAGGGGATCTCTGTTCTACACGAACCGGTCTGCTTCTGTTAGCCATCAAGTAGTTCGCTCTCACCTTCGTTCTTGGCTTATCTTGAATCATTTTAGAAGGCATAGAAGAAGGCGAGATGGTGATGAACTCGCCGTTGCTTCTACGGCGGTTGCTCGGTGGTATTCTCTTAACTGGAGTCACCTCGAATGAGTCGTGGCTCGGAATAAACTGGTGAGGCTTGTAGTTGTCTCCTTGGATAAAGTCATTGAGAGCATCAGAGACTTGTCTAAGTGAGTTGATGTAAGCAATGTGAGCAGAAGCGAAGTTGGTACGATGTTGTATGGCTTGTTTGATGAAACGTTTCCTGTCTTTACAGATCTGAACAGCTTCTTCGTCTTCTAACTTGGAATGAGAACATCCCATTTCTCTCTCTACTCTTAAACCGTATTCAATAACATCTAAAACCCATGCACTGTTTTTTTTTTTTGCTAATTTCTTTAAAAAAATGTGAAATTACTCAAAACTGACAAAAAAACAAAAATCAGATGAGAAACAGTGGCAAATCTTGGAGTTTCTTCTGGTGAGATGTTAAAAATGTAACGAACAAAATCAGAAATGAGGTTTTGGCAGAGGGAGAGATGACAAAGAAAAACTAATAGGGTATTTATGTAAGGGTCAAAAAGAAGCTGGAGGAGCAAGCAAGCGTGAGAATTTTCGGTCGAGAAAGAGAGTTTCGAGAAAGAAACGGTCAAAACTACTGCCAGAGAGAGGAGACAAGTCAAGAAGAAGACAGAATCAAAAATAAAAAGCATATATATATATAAAATATAATACTATTCCACTAATAATGAAATAAAAAAGAAACAAAAAAAAAAGTAAATGGGAAAAGCTACTATGAATCAAGACTTTCTATTGCGTCTTCTTACCCTCGCGTTTTACATTTATTATCGATATTGCCACTAAGTTGAAAGAAGCTCCTTCGTATGAGTATTATAGCAAAGCATGGGCACTTACGTACTTCACTAGTTTCTGCAGTGGGAAAATACGTGGGAAGAATTTAGGAAAAGAGATAAAAAGAAAGAACCGACCTGTAAAGTAAAAGGCAGGATTTGGACCCACATGATAAAAAGATGAGTAAAAAAAAGATATGATGAAGTGCCTGGATACCTTAGATTCCTCTTTCTGCCCCTAATTATTTCGTCTAATCACGAAGACGCCATTAGGTTTAGATGTAGTTTAGTAGTCCAACAATCTTTCTTTATTGGGCTAGCGTCTGATCAGTATCTAATGTATTGGACTTTATTGTCATGACTTAGATAAGAGACTTAGCTCATGTCATAGTGTTCTTCTGCTTCTAAACCATTGTGATTCAGTTTCAAGTATATTTTATTGGAACTATATGCAACAGTGGCAGAACTATGCCCATTTTGGGGTGGGCGGTTGCCCCTTATGCTAATTGAAAATTTCATGTAATTGTATACAATATATTCGTAATGTCTTTTTTGATGATATTTATAATTATATACTAATATTAAAAAATTTCCCCGGATAAAAGTAACTTCTAGATCCGCCACTAATATGTAACTATTTTCCTGAAGCATTTATGAGTGGTCTACGAGCAGCAGCAGCAGCAGTGGAGTAAAACCACACAGGTCTCTCAAAAGACAAATATGTTATTATTTAACTTTTATAGTCAGATCCTTGACTATAAACTGATGGATTATTTACCAGATTTACGGTGAGTTGATCACAAAATTAATGATAATATTTGACCTTTGACCATTCCAACGTGTATGTAGCTTTTTGGATGATTGAGATGATCATGAATTTATGAGAAGGCAGTCCAACTGCGTATAAATGTTGTTCCAGCCCATCTTCACAACAAACAAAAGCAACAAGAAAAAACATAAACAATAATATCCCGATAAGTTTTTAAATATGAAGACGTTGGGGATATGCTTGCTAGTAATTTTTTCCCTTGTTGTTACAGTGCCAGTGGAAGGTAGGACCTACATAGGTGGCGGTCTGACTAATCCGTGCTCAGGTCCTAATTCTCCTCCAGGATGCAATCCTCCAAACTCTCTCCATATGAATGTTCCTCCAGGTCCTAATCCCGCCAACAACTACACCCGTGGATGTTCCAAAATTACACGCTGCCAACGAGATATATGATATAAATTATAAACTCATCATCTAAAGTCAGTCGTATGTATTTGCTTTACAATCAAATTTCTACGCATGTGTAGGAATGATATGATATAAATTATGAACCATTATGGATTAGTGCTAAGGTCATTATACAGAAAATCTATTCTATTAAAATAGAAATCATGACTCATTTCGTGTGTGTGTTTTTTATTATTTGGAACATCACTAGGAAATTTTACAAAGGACGTGTTAGTGGGAGTTACATTTATAATGATTGGAAGAATTGGAAAAGTTTTGTGTTATTAGTTTACAGATTCTTAAATTATTACTAAATCTAGTGCTATTGGGATAATGATTTTTTAATTTTCTTCAAAATCCTTTGTTATTCAAAATGTTTACATTTTAATGATTCTATAAATATATCAAAGTTAGTGGTATTGGGAATTATATTTTTAACCATTTAACTCATATAACAAAATTTTTAAAATACTACATGTTTCCCTAATATTCTCAAAATCATTATAATAGTTTATTTTCCTAGATTTTTACAATATACACAATTCTCTACAACTCTTTCCAAATTCAACAAATCACTCAACTTTTAATATCAACAAACTCTCTATAAATTTTATTCCCACTGACACCCCCTAAAAATATTTCATTAAAGCTAATAATAAAATATTATAACTACTCTAATCATACTATCTTTTGATATATTTTTATTTTAAATATAAATATATATTAAGAATTAGAACAAATCTGTTGGAAAAGATTTTAGCAAGATCTTATTTAAAAAAAAAAACTATATAAATATTTCACTAATTTTGAATTAGTAATGAAATATAACTATACAATGATATATATATATATATATATTCAGTTATCTTTTATAAAATGAAAAAAATAAAAACTCCATCCTTTTATATATTTAACAATCATAAACTATCGTATTAAAAGAAACTATTATATTGAAGTCAATAGTAAAAATTTATATTAAATTGATAAATTAATCAATTTTATTTTCATAAATAGAAAATATATGTTAAAATATATAATATGTTGTCAGAACAATTTAAAATTAGTAACTATTTAATACATGTATAAAATCTTTAATAATAAAGTCAGTTTTTTTTCTCTCCTTGGGGGGAAAAAGACACGTGTCCCATCATTATTAAAATGATACGTTTTGTACATTTCTAACTTTGTGTTTGGTTATTGGGCCATAGTTTGATATAAGCAGCCCGTTTGCGTTTAGGTTTACCTCTTCCATCTTCATCCTTCAAGGCCGTCGATAGAAGAGTATGTTTTCCTGTAACGTCTGCGATCTTACTTAAAATCTAGAGATATATATAGGTCTTCGTCGAGTTGCAGAGAAAGTCATCAATCTCTGTAAATCCTTAGAATCTCAAAATCTTTCACTTAAACACTTCAAAGATATGGATAACCAAAATCTTTCACTTAAAAATCTTTCATTTTTAAATATGTGTTTTTTTTAAATCTACAATTTGCATACAATACATTTTTAAAATTATTTAGTCATACTATAGAAATATTATTTTTGTAAGATAAATTATATTTCCATGTTGTGTTTAAAAAATAAACTTTACATCTACTAGATGATAATCCTCACCATGTGCGGGATAAATTTATAAAACTAAATGTATTTGGTGATTTTTCATTTTAATAATAGTTAACAACTATACAATTGCTGAATATTGTGCATTATAACAAATATATTGAATAACTGAGAAACATTAATTATTAAGTATTTAATTAAATTGGTGCAAACACATAAATCAGACAAATTACTTTTGTTTATTTACTATCATTTTATGGAAAGTAAATCTAAATAATCATATTTATCTCTATTGTATATAAATAAATTTAAATGATAGTAACATAGATATATAGTATATTTTAATATTGTTATCTATTAAATGAGATTTCATAATCACGGTTTAATGATCATTATTATCTTTTTATAACATTTAAAAAAGTCATTAATAACAAAATTTTCAATATGAGAATTATAATAACTTTATAATTTATAAATATTCTTGAAAATTTATTGCAAATTTTGAAATTAAAATATTAAAATATTTTTTTGTCGATGAAATATTTATATATTCTTATATATGGTATATAGTTAATATATACATATAATATTTTAAATATCTATTATATGAGATTTTTTTCTCATATGGTTTTAAGATCATGTGTACCTTATTAAATAAAAATGTTAAACCATTGATCAAAATCCTTTAACATAAGAATTTTAACAATTTTAGTAACTTACAGCTATTTTCTAAATTTCATAATATAACATATAGGAAAAATATTTATTTTAGTTTCATAGTTATTTTCATTATTTAATTTATTTTAATAATATAAATTTAAAGAAAAATGATGAAGGAGACAAGAATTGTTATCAAATCTTTATTATTAAAATCATTGATTATCATATATATATATATATTAGTCATATTTGGTAAATCTGTAGCTTTTATATATGGAAGGAAAGGAAAATAATAATTATGCACTCTTAATTAATTTTATTATTAGTTTAATGAAAATTATATTATATATTTAGATGGACCAACATATTTTATAAGAATTTTGTAAATCATATTGGTGATGACACGTGACTACACTCAAAGGTTGTAATGCTTCTCAATTAATATATAAGGGTTTCTTTCAGTATTTTACTGGATTTCATGAATAAATATATTTATCTATATAATTAATTTACCCATATTATTTTGATAAATTTTATATATAATAGCATCTATGATATTATAATAGTAATTTTATTGATACAAGATATTTTTGATGTTATGGTATTACCGTATTAAGTTCTCTGATTTTTTGTTATTAAGTTAAGATTTTAAAATATTATACTAGTTTAGATTTTACAATTTGGAATATTTTCTTCTGAATTTAGAATATTTATTTTCCAAATTTTATATTTGGTCAATAATTTCTTTGAAAAGTACATAAATAATTTTGAGTTTGAAAAATTATACGAATGATTTTTTTTGTTACTAAAGTAATGAATTATTGTATAAAAAATATTCAAAGTTTTCGGTAGTATGTTTTATATATTTCATAACGGATTTTGTGATAATTTAAAAACCTTAAATTTGTAGTTAAATAGATTTTTCATTAATATCTTTTAAATTATTAATATTTTCCGTTTTCGTATTTTGTAAGTAAAGCATGAACTAATAGTCTGTTATACACTATTATATTTTTATATAACTATTTTTACATAATATATTATTTTGAGCTTAAAATTAAATAAAAATATATATAGTTGTATATGTAAAATTTTAAGGTATACTAACAATTATTGTATAACAATATGCATAGTTTATGAATTTTTTTTACTTTTTAATGGTGAAGAATAATTGGTTTTATTTATTTATTTAAATGAACGCACTTTTTAAATAAAACAAGTTAATTAATTAATTTATATAATTTTGTTTTTTTAATTCATATATAACTTCTGTCGAGAATTAACTATTTGGATTGTAGTTATGAATTTATAAAAAAAATTGCATAGAATTGTTATTTTGTTTTAAAATTTTTTTCATTAATATTAATTCATAACAATATTATATTTATTTTTGTACAAAAACCAATATTATATTAATTATTACGAAATTAGTTATGGCATTATTGTATAAAAGTATTTAAAATTTAATAAGATTTTGTAAAAAAATTTCTCAACAGACTTTGTTATAACTAAAAAAAATAAATCTAGTTTTTTATACATTTGATTTATTAATGTAAATAATAAAATATACATATTATATAATTAATGAAATGGCCCTATTAAGATTTATCTACAGTCAATAAAAAGTAAAACTCTAAATTAATAGATTAGATTTCTTGTTTTTAATATTTTAAAATTAATGTGAACAGTTATTGTTTTAGAATATCTATTATTATAAAGAAGCCTTATCTCCCTCCTGCCTTTGCCACGTCAGAAAATCACTCATCCATAAGGTGACACGTGTCCAACCGTAATACGCTGTGTTCTTCTATTTGTGGACTCGGGGAAAGATGCGTTTAGTTATGGGCTCAATGTTTTTATGGCCCAAAGTTATATTGTGCTTGGCCCAGTCATCTGTGTTATGGCGTCTCGAGTCTTTCTTCCTTGGAAATTAGGGTTCTTCGTCAAACTCACCGTAGCCGCCATTGATCTTGCTGTGAATCATTTCTCCTTGACGATTTATCTTTCGCTGTTGAGCTTCTCCTTCACGCATTGATTGTAGCATTTACTACTCCCACACGATCTCTACTCACTAACATCTTCTCTTCTGCGAGGCGGTTTAAGAACGTGTATATATATTTAGGTTCGTCTCCATATATGAGAACCATTCACAATCCTCTTTCACCCAATTTCACCTCTTAGTAATGGCTTTAAGTAGAATTTCTCTTTCAGACCTGAGGTCCGGTCGTTGCTCCTCCGCCGTCGAGGTGAAGCTCCTCCGGTTCTGTGAAGCCAGAAGTCTCAGGCGTGGTGGTGAGGTCATTTGAATCGACATGATGTTGGTTGACATAAATGTAAGATTTCTGTTCATTACAATCCCATAAACCGTCGAGATAGATTATTCCGACCTTAGTATTCTCATTTTCTGACATGTTTATTGTTTTACTCGCAGGTCACAATTATGCGTGCCAGTATTAATGCTAACCGAGTGCCTGTTTTCAGGCCAAAACTCGCCGCCGGTAACATGTACCCTCTCTTCGACTTCGATGTCAACCGTTGTGCTCAGAATTTCCGGTTAAACGATTCTCCTTTGGTGATCTGGCTTTCTGATCCAACCGGTTCTGATGAGATAACCGAACCGGTTATCACTTTCGAAGATTTATGTCATCTCCTTCACCTCTGTTCGTGCCTATGGAAGCATGTGGTTTGATCCTAATGACAAGATCTCTGTGGAATGGGAACCCTTTGGTTCATTTTAAGTTGATGTACCTTAGGTCCTTTAAAGTTAGAATCATTGAACTGATTTTCTGGAGGAGGAGATTTGTTTGACTAATATGTATGCTTTGTGTGAATTGGCTGAAGATTTTTTTTGTTAAGGACCTCGAGCTGCTTCAACTGCGCGTGATATCGAGATAGAGCCTGACTTACTAACCAGGTGAGTTTTTTATTCTACTGTTTTGAACAATCACATTATCCATTTCGCATTGAAATTTCCGGATATGCACACTGACTTGGGTTACTAAACTGCTGCAGCCCCAAAGAGAATGTACCTCGAGTTCTCTATTGTACGTGATAATATAAGAGACAAACGTAAGTTCATTCCTATTGCTCTGCATCTTTCAAACCTTTTGTCTGCAGTTAGTTTGAATTTTAACTCTTTAAACGTGTATTGACACATGTTTGTACATCTTCCTTTCAGTCTCTATGTGACAAAAAAACTGTGAGGAAGCTTGCAAGACTGCATCACGTATATTCTCAACTGCGGGTAAGATGACGAGAGATGATGATGAGGTGAGATAATAATATTTGAATAATTTTACGATAACATGATCATCTAGATAGCTTGAAGTTAAGGGTTGTGAATGTTATCTCCATGCTTTTCTTTTCTTGGCATTGGGTTCGACTATTTCGTGTTTTTGTCTACAGTTTGGCATCTTGGATGATCTGCATCGTGCATCCAACTCCAGCTGTTTGTGGGTTCCCAGCAGAAGAAGCCAGACTTTTCATCAAGGAAATAGGTGAACATTAGCTGTTTATAATTGTAATATTTTTTATTTGATTTATTTTTTGAGAATTGCCATTGTTTTCCTTCTATCGATGTGACTTGAGAATTGATTGCCATATTAGCATTCATTTGATGATTATATGACCGGTTGAGAATATTATACAAAAAAATATTAGTATCAAAAGTAACGGGCCATTGGTTAGATGGTTACATTGAATAATTGATATGCAAACACACACCGGAATAAACTGAAACCAAATAAACAAAATCCTTGGGAGTGAGGGATAGATCGTCTCCAACCACTCTAATACATGCTGCTGAATGGGAGCCCTATAATGAATCACAGAACAAATTAAATCTTGGTATAGAAACATTGAGACACTCTATCTCCGATGGATATATAACTATTTTTTTGTAATGACAACACATTAAAGCTTACTACATCTACACACACCAATTGAAGTTTATGACAATAATTTATGAATACGGCATAATGATATATTCAGGGATGAGATATAGTTCAGTTATGCATAGTTTGAACATGTTGGGATGGAGAATAAGCACAATCAAAATGAACCAATGCTAGAGACCCCCATTTCACACGACGCTACTACCGAAATGGCTTTTACTTTCTCTAAAGATATCACTACACGAAGTTAAGGTAATAAGACTATCAGTTTACATTGTAACTTATTTGAATGTCAAAGCTACGATTACATGGCATCTCTACACCATTGAAATCCAATGTGATACATGTATCTGATACAAACTGATTAGAAACTTTGTTTTTATGATTTAAACAACATATTTTTAAGGTTCAAGATTCTGATATGAAAGAGTATCCCGTTTAAAAATTCTTTATGCGCAATGGAGGTTAAACTCAGAATCACACAATTAAAAAAGTCGCAGCTTATCCAGTAAATCCAACAACCACAAACTAAAAGATAAAGCTAAAAGGATATATGCTGAACACACCATAGTGACATTCAGACAAGTTTGTTTTCCCTCTAATCTTCTAAATTATCTAGCAATATATAGTGTTTTCAAAAAAAAAATCTCCATCCATGATCGAAATATATAATAAAAAGCAGTTTAGTTAATATATAATAAGTTAATTATATATATAGTAAATTGTAAGAACTATACTATGCTAAATTCCAAGTACCATTTATTTCCAAATTATAATCATGAGTTACTTAGATTACACGTGATTTATTTATTTTCAAACATAATAGTAATATATATATTTAAGACTCAAACAAACATGTATAGTTTTAGATAGTAATGATCATTATTAACTTTTATGTATTCTACCTGAATTAAATATATTTTCGGTTAGAACTTCGCATGACTAATTACTTATAAATTCACTAAACTCATCGAGAAATTTTTAAAAATTAAATCTAACTATTAGTATAGTTAAACTAAAACAAACATTATAAAAAAATCCTATAATTTTTTTAATAATTTATAAGTTTACAATTTTAAGAATACATAATCAAATTAGTAGATATATTATTTTAATAAAAACATAAAATTTATTTTAATTTCAATTTAGAATAAATTAATTTTTAATTTCAATTATACATAATTTATATTATTTATTTACCTGCCCGTAGGGCCTATCCTAGTAGTATTACAATAAGTTATAAAAGTTCAAAAAAAACTGAGTATGTTATATTTGATGACCCATCAAAATTAGCTAAATAAACGTAAATGTGTTTATTACACAATCCAACCCGGTTTAAAAATAAAAACTGAAACTAAAAACAAATTATTTTTTCTTTAATTAACTATAATATTTTCGGGCTTTGAAAAGCGTATGTAGAAATTTAGTTGTAGATAAATTCCTTATGATAGACCTAAAATTTTTTTAATCACAATTATATATTTTAAGAAATAAAAGTGACCAAAATAGACTTAAATATTTTATCGAAAATAAGTAAATATACATTTATATCATTTGGGTTAGCTAATCATAGACTTTTTTGTTTATAGTTGAGTAGCGGAGTTTTGGGGTTAGGATTTCAATAAAAAATAAAAATAAAAAACTTAAAATTTTCAAAATTAAAAATGCTATTTTGGTCATTTTAGATTTTGAGGTCTATTTTGTGATAAAAACTTTAAAAGGTCTATTTGAGAGATTTGAAAAGCGTATGTAGAAATTTAGTTGTAGATAAGTTCCTTATGATAGACCTAAATTTTTTTTAATCACAATTATATATTTTAAGAAATAAAAGTGACCAAAATAGACTTAAATATTTTATCAAAAATAAGTAAATATACATTTATATCATTTGGGTTAGCTAATCGTAGACTTTTTTGTTTATAGTTGAGTAGCGGAGTTTTGGGGTTAGGATTTCAATAAAAAATAAAAATAAAAAACTTAAAATTTTCAAAATTAAAAATGCTATTTTGGTCATTTTAGTTTTTGAGGTCTATTTTGTGATAAAAACTTCAAAAGGTCTATTTGAGAGATTTGCCCTAAGTTGTATCTTATTATTGAAACATAAATGTAAAACTAATATTTAAGTTAAGATATACAATATAAGTGATTAATTAATCAATTTATTTTTTATAGTTTCCTTTTTAAAATGCATATATATATATATATATATATCTATAATATTATTTGAGAAGTCACTTTCTTAGGTGTCGCGCTCACGTTAACTCTCACGCTGGTTGATTACTATGATACCCTTAATGAATTAAAAATATATTTAAATATTATTATTTCTTTTTTAAAATCTTCCAAATAACAATATAAAATAAAAAGGAAATATTTATAAAATTTACAAAACTATTTAAAACGGAAAATAAGTATATATATAATATGGTTTCATAAAAAAAAGAAAGTTTACAAAAGAGTAATATTTAACTTAAATATATTTTTAAATAACATAAATTATACTTTTAAGTAATAAAATACTTTATATCTATATCTTCTTAGATGAAAAAAATATTTGTATATAATGTGTTTTCATTAAAAAAGTTCATACAAATAATCTTGATATTAGAAAAGAAATATTTTTCTTTAAAAATAATTTAAACAATAAAATATATATNCTTTTGATCAAATAACTACAATTCTTTTGATATATCATAACACTATAATTTAACAAGGTAGATATATTATAATTAATAGTTAAAATTATCTGTTTTCTTAATAACTCTTTTGATGTTTAATTTTCTGTTTTTATGTTTGTGGAATTTAATATAACTATAATCTAATACTTAAAGCAAATCAGAATTCCTTATTTTTAAAATTATTTTAAAAAAAATTCAGTTTATCATCCAATCAATCTATGGCATGAATTATTTAGAGTTTATAAAATATTTTAATTATTGTAAATATTGATATGTGTTCATAAGCTTTCAAAAATTTATTATTACTTATGTAATTTAGAATCAGACACTTTAGTTTTTATTTTTTTTGTTCTAAGCACAAAAAAATCTTAAAATACATAATCTTACTAAGATATACTTATATTTCATAGATAACAACCAACATAAATGTAAATAAAATAATTAATCAAAAATTTAAGATATTTAGAATAAAAAAGATTATAGTTGAATTCATAGAATAGAAAGAATCCAATATATATATATATATATATATATATATATATATATATATATATATATATATCCAAATGATAATACTGACTAAATATAATATATATAAAATTATAATAACTAAAATATATAATATTATTAATACAAATTATACATACAAACTATAAATTAATATAAAATTTAAGTAACTGTCAATCAACTATTATAATATATTTATTTCTTAAATATTTAAGCCCGTGCATGAGCACGGGAAAATCACCTAGTATATAGCTTAAATAAGATTAATCTTAAAAAAACAATTTTTATTGAAAATATAATTATATGTATTATCTTATAGTAAATATTCCAATACTTCTTATCAGATGATATTTTAGTATTTTTAACTTATCTTGGTATTTATACTTATTTATTTAGTTTATTAAATAAAAGTAAAAAATCTATAAACTAGTGTATTAAATCTTGATAAAAAAACTAGTCTATTAAATCTTGATAAAAAAACTAGTCTATTAAATAATACTTTGAATGCAGTTTAATGTTTAGATATTTTAGTCAAATAAAAACATAAAGCAGATCCTTGACTATAAACTGATGGATTATTTACCAGATATACGGTGAGTTGCTCACAAAAT